AATCAATAACTTAAACTCAGTAAAAATAATTTTATGTAGATAGATAGATAGATAGATAGATAGACAGACAGACAGACAGACAGACAGACAGACAGACAGACAGACAGACAGATAGATAGATAGATAGATAGATAGATAGATAGATAGATAGATAGATAGATAGATAGATAGACAGACAGACAGACAGAGAGACAGACAGACAGAGAGAGAGACAGACAGATAGATAAATAAATGGATAGGTTAGTCAGAATAAGCACCCATTCAACGATAAGCTTATTACTATTGAATAATAATATCATTTAATATTATCATTATTATTATTAATTATAATAATTATAATTTCATTAATAATTATTATTATTAAAGTAACGTAATCCATTATCTAATATAAATAGTTTAAAATTAAACACACCAGATCATAAACGCAATTATAGACAAGCCCCTAAATAAATTATTTGGTACAAAATAATTTTTAAATAAATAAACAAAACTATTAAAAAATCCATATGCATATATTTTTTGCGTGTATCTATGTGTGTGTGTGTGTGTATGTATGTATGAACCCGTATGTGTGTGTATGTATGTATGTATGTATGTATGTATGTATGTATGTATGTATGTATGTATGTATGTATGTATGTATGTATGTATGTATGTATGTATGTATGTATGTATGTATGTATGTAAGTATGTATGTATGTATGTATGTATGTATGTATGTGTGTATGTATGTATGTCATTATAGTTCAATTGGTGTTAACATTTATATCAGCGTTCAGTTTAATTGAGTTAAACATAAATTCTAAAAAACAGCTAATCATATAAACATAAATTAAACACAACAGAGAACAAAGAATAAATCAAAGAAAATCAAACAAAGAATAAATAGATCGACGAACAAAGAATAAACTAACAAAGAAGGATCAAAGAACGTACAGCTTCATAACGAACAATCAATTGAAAGACTCCAAAATTGAATTAAATTAGACACTTGTACATATTTCACGCCCATGTATGTATGTATGTATTTATGCATGTATGTATGTATGTATGTATCAAAGAACGTACACAGATGTATGTATGTATGTATGCATGCATGCATGTATGCATGCATGTATGTATGTATGCATGTATGTATGTACGTATGTATGTATGTATGTTTATGTGTATATGTATGTATTATGTACTTATGTATGTATGCATGCATAAATGTATGTAATAACAACAAAACAATAGGGTATTTATGCTATATAAATACAATTATAATAATAATAACGATTTAAATGTTTCAAATGTCGGTTGTCTTAATTCAACGTAAGAATAAAACTAAACGGAGAAACATCAACAAACCAACCAGTCAACCAACCAGTCAACCAACCAACCATTCAACCAACCGACCGACCGACCAGTCAACCAACCAACCAACCAACCAACCAACCGACCGACCAACAAACCAACCAACCGACCAACAAACCAACCAACTAACCAACCAACCAACCAACCGACCGACCAACAAACCAACCCACCGACCAATAAACCAACCAACTAACCAACCAACCAACCAACCAACCGACCGACCAACCAATTAACCAGTCAACCAACCAACCAACAGCCATTAACAACATAAAGAAATAGAACTTTTTTTTTTACAAAAAAAATTTTAAATTATGAACGAAGGCCGTAATGGAAATGATTAGCAAGATGAAAAGAAATCTTTTAAGAGTAGTGTGTGAAAATGTGGAAGAGGAAAAAGAGAGAAAAAGAGAGAGAGAGAGAGGGAGGGAGGAAGAGAGAGGGAGAGAGAGAGAGAGGGAGGGAAAGGAAATAGAAAGAGAAGAAAGACAGGAAAGAAGGTTAGACAAACAGACAGACATACAAACAGAGAGACTAATATAGAGACAGAAAGAGAAAGAAAAAAAAAGAAACAACTTTAAAAGATACGATACCAAGCATATCAAAACTACAAGTCAAGAAAAATTATGACAAAATTAATTTTACCATTACTAAAACATACATACATACATTACATTCAAATAAACAAACAGACAAACACAGACATACACAAATAAACAAACAGACAAACACACACACACCACATACACACACATACAAACATACAGGCATTCTAAATTACAACAAATTTTTTAGAAACAAACACAAACAAGAAAAAAATATGATAACAGATATCCAGTAACATGACAACAGTACAAACAATTTCAGCCCACAAGCAACCATACAAACAAACAAACACAGAAACACACGTACTCACACACAAACGTACACAAACAGACACACGTACACACAAGCATGCACATAACCACATAAATACATCTTCACAGAAAACATTAGTACAAATATTCATTCAACCGAACAAACACAGACACACACACACACAAACAGACACAGTCAGACAATGAAATATTCTAGAATCGTTTCCTATCCACTAGAACTCTCATAATGCACCCAACTCCTCCAATGGCAAACACCTGCATTTGTGATGATGATGATGAAGATGATGTTGATGACGATGATGATCATGTTAATGAAGAATGATGATGATGATGATAATGATAATTAGGATGATGACGATGATGATATTATTGATGATGATGACGATGTTAATTTAATTTTTTTCTGTTAAATTTATAAATCACAAACATGTGATAGTACCAACAACTATAGATGACAACATCAATTACAGAATTAAATAAACAATTTCTACAGTAAAAACCACAACAACAACAACAAGAACAACATAAACAACAACAACAGCATTGATAACAACAAGAGAAACAAACAATCAGACATATATACATACATACATACATACATACATACATACATACATACATACATACATACATACATACATACATACATACATAGATATTATCATGGCGGCGAAACCGGTTGTAATTAGCGAAGTTCTATATTTTTTGGTTGGTAACTTCGACTTATTTGATAATGAGACGTTTATAAATAATACTGCTGAATTTTTCTCCAACGAGGACTTTATTGACGCTCAAAAAATTTTGAAATTAGAGTTGGAAAAATGTTAAAATTGAAAAGTTTGAAAAACCTACTTCACGTGGCAACACAAGGCGCGATAAACTGTTAGTATTAACACAAATTCTTATTTTTTTGAAAGAGGAAAAACTTATGGATAAGTGCTCAATATTTGCCAGCGTTAATTTATCTAATGTTCCTAACTTCGAAAATGTCATCAAAATAAACTTTGAAATTCTGAAAAATGAATTAAAAAATATGTTGTACACTCAACATAACAAACTCATACAAACACTTGACGTGCACACGCAAGATATAACTTCTTTGAAAAATAAATTAGTGCAAACAATAGACGTGCATACACATGATATGTCGGCGCTTAACAACAAAATAAACTGTTTGTCGTACAATAAAGACAAAAATACCTCGAAACTGAACATAAACTCAGTTCCGTCAGCAGTTAACTCCGATATGAACAAGCAAGCTGTTACCTCCAAACCAGCCATGTTTTGGTCCGACGAAATTACGACACCGACTGATGACAACCCTCTGCCATACAGCGTGGTCGTTCGAAACAA